TTTCTCTCTCTCTCTCTCTCTCTCTCTCTCTCTCTCTCCTCATTCTTCTGCCTCTGTTACTCTTCCTATTTTCTCCATCTCTTCCTCTTTCCTTACCCCCAATATTTCTGCTTCTCTGTCCCCTTACCTTCCCCCCTTTCTTCTCTCCATCCTTCTCTCTCGTTCTCTCTGACTGTTGGCCTCTTTGTATTCCCACTCTCCTCCTTCACATGTTCATGCTCAGCTTTCCAGGGTCAACAAGATGGTGCATCTTGGGAATCGGAGTGTTTTTGAAGAATGGGGGTGGTGCTCCCTGTCCCCGACCCCCAGTAAAAGCTGATTCATGAATGGGCAAGCTGCGCAGGGACACAGAGCCCCACACTTGAGAGCATATCACACTTGGTTTAATGTATTTTTCCTGCTGTGTTCAAACTCATATACTTGAACATGGTGGCCCCATTTTCATTTGCACTGGACCCTTTGAATTGGGTCATTGATCCTGCACCTGGTTTCCAGGACAACCCTGGCCCACATTCCAGAGTAAGAAAATGTGTTGATTCCCTGGGGATAATGCACCTTCTCCCAGTGGTTTGGCAAAGCATCCCTTACCATCCTATATAATAAAAGCCTAATATGCAAATTGACCTAACGGTAGAATGATCGGTGGCTATGATGCACACTGACCACCAGGGGGCAGATACTCAATGCAGGAGCTGCCCCCTGGTGGTCAGTGCGCTCCCACAGGGCGATCATTGCTCAGCCAGAAACCCTGAGCAGGCCTAAGCCATCAGTCGGACATCCCCCGAGGGCTCCCAGACTGTGAGAGGGCACAGGCTGGGCTGAGAGACGCCCCTCTGAGTGCACAAATTTCATGCACTGGGCCTCTAGTGGAAAATAAATGGGGCTCTGACTTCCTGAAAGCCCCGCCCCCTCCCTGTAATTGGCCAGGACTCAAGCCAATGTCTTCAGAAAACCTGGTTGATCCTCTCCAGGATAGCATTCATTCCTGCTCTCCCATTGGTCTACAGAGACAATGAGTCTCTTCCCATTGGCCAGGGCAGAAGGCTGTATTCTGGCAGGACAAAGACTTGATAACTACAAGGTATATGAGACTACAGGGATGGTTGCTCTGAAACGGAAGCTAATCTGCTCTCTCCCCTCCAGGGTGACTCAGGGAGCCCATTGATGTGTGAAGGTTCTCTTCAAGGCCTGGTGTCCACGGGGAATTTCCCTTGTCGTCCACCCTTCCACCCAACCTTCTACACTCGTATATGCGCATACCACACGTGGATTAGTGATACCATGAAAAGGAATTCCTAATCTCTCCATGCTGCCATCTCTCCATCCCTACGCCCAAAACAGTTACTTCACAAAAAAAAAATAAAGGCATCCATGACTTACAGACATATGTGACTTGACTGTTTTTCAAAGTCATCTTAAAATGTCAACAATATTCTAATTGAACACTAAAATTATCTAAAATCTACTAAAATTATCTAAACACCCCAGGACTGGTAAAAATGTGGTGAGACCCACCATTTCCACCACTGGAACTGTGGGTTGCTACAGGTGTTGTGAAAGGGAGATCAATCAAGAGATTTATGCATTACTTTCGATCTAGCCATTCTAGTGAAGCCGAAATGTGGGTGGGCAAGGTTTGAATGCCTCACAACACTATTTGTCATAGCAAAAATGAGAAAACGCTGAACACGTCCTAAATTATTGGGTTGTTTATGTAAACAATAAACGGATGGAGGTCAGAATACGAATGAAACTGTTCGGGATAAGAATTACGCAGAGTTGTCACGCAAGAATGTGTATGCTTTCGGGTGTTCAATGAAAAAAAGAAACCAAAAAAAATGTAGTATATGCATGTGATCCTCACTGTGTAAAGTGAAATATTCACAGAATAAAGAACACGTACCAAACTTCCTGTGTGAAGTCCTGAGCTGAGAGCTGTGTCGAAGTAAGGACCACACTTGGGATTACGGTTGACATCAGGGACGGCGGGGTTTCTCACCCTCTCATGAGCTTTACAGCAGATCTGGCCACGTCTTCTCGCTGAAGGGCACCGTGTCCACCGAGCAAGAGGCCGCGAAGTCCTAACATCTCCAGCTCCCTGTCGATGGAGTTGACAAACTCCATTCAGCCCATCGCCGCCGTGGCCTGTTGGTTTTTCCTCCTAAACGCACCTTGAATCCACCCACTTGTTACCATCTCCATCTCCCAAATGGCCTTCCCCTAGTCTTCATCATCTCTCATTTGTACAAGAGTAGTGGCCCCTTCGTGACTCCACGTTCGCTTCCTATCTTGCTTCATAGAGCAGCCAGGTTGATATTTTTGAAAATACAAAGGTTCTATGTCACATCTCTTCATAAAGTCCAAGTGGTTCATCGTTGGCCACAAGGTAGAGTCCAACTCACCATGACCCACAAGCTCCTTCATTGTCTGCTCTCTGAGCTCCATCTGTACATTATTCCGTCTCAAAGCCTTTACCCCTGCTGCTTCCTCTACATCAGTGATTCCCAAAGTGGGCGCTACCGCCCCCTGGTGGGCGCTGCAGCGATCCAGGGGGGCGGTGATGGCCACAGGTGCATTTGTTTTAACTTTTTTTGTATTACCTTTCTATTCTGAGTTCAATAAATAGTTTCATAATTTCAAACTTCAATGTTTCTAATTTACACCTTTCTTTACTATATTTTACGAAAAAGGTAGAAACATTAATACATATATCTTTCTGTTTAATTGCTATTAAAATTTAAAAAAAATTAATTTCCAGGGGGCGCTGAGTAATATTTTTTCTGGAAAGGGGGCGGTAGGCCAAATAAGTTTGGGAACCACTGCTCTACATGATACTCTCCAGGCCCCTTCCACTTTTTTTTTTTAATTTCTTTATTGATTTCAAAGAGGAAGGGAGAAGGAGAGGGAGATAGAAACATCAATGATGAGAGAGAATCATTGATCGGCTGCCTCCTGCACACCCCCTACTGGGGATCGAGCCTGCAACCCAGGCATGTGCCCTTGGCCGGAATAGAATCTGGGACCCTTCAGTCCTCAGACTGACACTCTATCCACTGAGCCAAGCCGACTAGGGCTCCTTCCACTTTTTTATATTGATTTTAGAGAGAGAAACATTGATCGATTGCCCATCCCCGTACATGCCCCGATGGGGAATCCAACCTGCAACCTAGGTGTGTGCCCTGGCCAGTGTGGCTCAGTGGGTTGGAGCATCATCCCATACACCAAAAGGTCATGGCCAGGTTGTGGGGTTGTGGGTTCAACCCGCAGTTGGGAAGGCAACCAGTCAATATTTCAGTCTCACCTCTCTCTCTCTCTCTCTCTCTCCCTCCTGCTCCCTTCCTCTCTCTGAAAATATCAATGAAAACTCATATCCTCAGTGAGGATTTTTTAAAAATATAAACCAAGGCTCCCAGCCCCTCCTCTGAGACCCAGGAGTCCAGTCTCCTAGCCTCCCCTCCTCGCTCTGTCCGAGGTGAATGCATGATGTCAGAAGAGGTGGCATGGGTCCCAGAGAAGGTAGTCAGCTCTCTTTCTCTCTCTCCCTGGGACTGTGTGTGTGTGTGTGTGTGTGTGTCACTCTGCCTGCCTCTTTTTTTGTCTCTGTTTCTCTCTCCCACGTGTGTCAGCTGTTTGTCATCATGGCTTATCTCTTTCCTTCTCTTGTGGATCTCATTCCACCCTCGGTAGGACGATCTTATTCCAGCCTCCAGCTTGAACAGAGCTCCCTCCCTTGATTCCATCACCATTTCTAGGGCAGAAGCTGTGCCCGTGTTAGCGTGGCCTGCGCCATGCATCCATCCCAATGGGTGGGAGTGTCTATAGACGTCTAAGGGGCAGTTTCGCCCAGAAGACGCGTAGGCAGCTTTCCAAGAAGTAGACAGTTGTTCTTGAAGAAGGGGGAAGTGAATCCAGGAACCAGAAACAATCGGCCCTCAGAACACGAAGGTGCTAAACCAGAAGGTTGGGGATCAGTGTCCAGGATCCGCCGGGGCAAACACAGCTGGCAGGGCAGTCAGGTGCCAAGTCTCAGGTGAGAACAGGAGCGAGAAATGAGTCATCAGGCACAGGTTCAGGAGGTAGGTCTGAGGGCAAGGGTGATATGAGTTGAGGTGGGAGGGAGCGTTTAGGAACGGGTCTGGGACTAAACCCAAGGGCATGGCATGGCTGGGATATGGGATTCGCGGGGGCGC